AAGACTGCGGGACCTAAACCTGTTCAGCCTTCACAAGAGAAGGCTGAGGGGGGCCTGGTGACTATCTATAAACTCACTGGGGAGACCAGAAGGGTTTGGGGGAGACACTGTTTCCCCTAGTGCCCCCTGGCATAACAAGGAATAATGGACACAAGTTATTGGAGAGTAGGTTTAGATTAGACATCCGCAAGAACTACTTCACAGTTAGGGTGGCTAGGAGCTGGAACCAACTTCCAAGGGAAGTGGTGCTGGCTCCTACCCTGGGGATCTTTAAGAAGAGGCTTGATGCCTACCTGGCTGAAGTCATTTGAGTCCAGTTTTTCTCCCGCCCAGGCGGGGGGTCGGACTTGAAGATCTACAAGGTCCCTTCCGACCCTACTTCTATGATTCTATGATATCCAGGGGTCAACCACCACCATGCTGCTCCCTTGCAGTGCAGAGAAAAAAAACAATGGAGCAATGCAGTCTTGGCCAGCATGTGCTGCTGAGAAGCAGAACTGGCCCTCCCAGAGCTATACTCTGCTTCCAGCCAGGCTTTGGGCAGCAGAATCACCACAGCTGCAGCTCTGGGGGGCCCCCAGGTAAGGCTGCTGGGACTAGCCCAGTGCTGGCCCCAGCCTCCCCTACCTGACCAGGGGTAACTTGCCATGCCAGAGCACACATGGCACAGGCATTCCCCAGAGACAAGAACTGGCACCACAAGGTGCACTGCCACTACTTGTCCCAGGGGAACCAAATGTCTATGTACATCTGGATTCACCTGAAGACTATCATCCTATACCACTGGTACTTGGAGTTTCCAGATAGATTTAAAACTATTTTGTAAAAAACCTAAGCAAGTGAATATATTTGCATTTTATTATAAAATGACACTCATGACCCAACCAGAGTTCAGTATTTGTCACTGACTTATTAACAGAACAAATCAAATACTTAGCTTCCACTTCTTAAGGAAGGGATGAATAAAATTTCTGTTAAAGGAACTGAGGGCATATTTATATGGTGACAGTAGTCTGTTCCAGCCAAGATGACTCTGAGCATACCCCACTCTCCTGCTCTCACATGCATGCCCCAAACTAAAAAGTATACCAGGAGGGCAACTTCAGTGTCATCTCCAGGGGCCACTCTCAAGCACACTCAAGAGTACTTGTCATTTAAATGGTAGATTTTTTAGTATTTAATAAAACATGTTGATACCTTTAAAAGTGGATATATTTCATAGTCTTTCAGAGTACACTCCAGATCATTAGGCATTAGATTTGACAGTACTATATACCACACAAAGATATCATTTTCTTTGGCAAGGTACTTTGTCAGGTCAAGTGCAGACTCAATCTCAAGATAGCCAGACCTGTTTTTGAAAAAAAAAAATATATATGCATCTATTTGAGCATATTTATTCAAGTGTGGATCTATAAATATACAGCAGGAAGACCTATATATTTAAACAACTGATGGGAAAAGAATCCAGATACTGGTGTAGGCTTTGGGAGAGGCGGGAAAAAGAAATAACACAACAGGGACCATCTAAGAGTCTGACTACTTACTCATATGTTTATTATGGAAAAGGTGCTACTACCATGAGTTAATGAGATCGCTCATGACATTAAGTACACTGTATTTGGTTATGTTTGCACAATCAGGTCCATATATGGAGCCTCTCCATCATTGTCACCAGGACAAAAATTAAGATTTTTTGTTTTATTGTATGTTCCTCTCCATTTTTAAACCACTGAATAACAGATTTTTACTATAGGGTATCTTGGTGCATAACCATTATGTGAGGAGTATAAACAACTTAACTCAGGCATAGGTTCAACTTACTATTATTACTGGCTACAGCAGGATGGCATAAATATAGGAATAGGATCATAGGGAAGTAGGGCTGGAAGGGACCCCACAAGGTCCATTCTCCTATTTAAGGCAGGATTGTCCCTGAGTACAATTCACTCTTGCGGATGGGAAATATAAAGGTACATATCCTCCAGTAACCAGACATGGGGAGCAGGTTTCAAGTCCTTATTACAGGCCACACTGGGCCCTCTTCTTGGAATAAAAACCACAGAAAGTGTGTATACATGCATAGAAGTGTTTTGGAAGGGGGGGAGGCAGAATTCTGAGTTTCCTCACACAGTTGCTTCCAGTAATCTTCCACGGGTTGGAGCATGCTCTGATCACCTGTGAAACTATTATGGGCCTGACTCTCAAACCATTCAGTTATTCTGATACCTGTGTAGATTTCCACTGTTTGCTGGAGATAGAAAAATGACTATTAACTCGTACATCTTTCCGTTGCTCCATGGCAGAATGGAGCTGTGCAGTGTACATGGGTACTTGGGATATTCATAAAGAAGGATCTCCAATATGGAAGGTAGAGGGATGGGACTATGTATACACAATCAAGCTATATTAATTTACTGCAGAATCACCACACTTTGTTGGGGGAATCCTAGCAATCTCCTTTTGTATGCATTGGCCCATCTCTGTCCAAGTGAAAATAATTAAAGAGCATATGCATGACAAGCATATGCAAGTAGTTGGGACCCATTAATCCCTATGGCAACACATCATCCTATGGCAATGTAGCAATCACATGGGTCTAGAGTGCTGCTAGAGTGACATACCAGCAAAATGCACCCATGCACAGCACAGTAATCACCTGTACAGCACCGTGCTTTACTACTTCCAAAAGACAGCAGTATCTTTCAGAAGTACTAAAGCACACTGCCATAGCAGTGTTGCTGTATGGTGATGTGTAGATGCACCTAATTTGTAGAAAAAGTTACGGTGGTTCTAGTGCTTTAAGCATTTAATGAAGGCAGGACAAAGCTTTATTTAAAATACCGCAAAGAGCTCCCATGCATTTGCAGGGGGGTGGACTAATGCTCCCTGATAAAATCTGTTGTTTTTATGAGGTATTTACAAACACAATGCAGCATGAGGTATATGGGGTGTGATAATGGATAGTGAAATAAATTCATAATAGATTAAAAATGTACTCACTCTGTCAAAGAAAAAGCATCGTCTATCAGTTGTAACCTGTTGACAAGAGGAAAAACCTGCAAAAGCATCCACGAAGTGTTAGCAATTTCACTATGAGGAAAAATAGATTTAAATTAAGTTAAAACAACCTGGTCCTGTAGTCCTTTCCCAAACCAAATTCTTATAGACTTCAGTAAAAGTTTTACTGACTTGATATATAAAGATTTGTTTTTATTTTGAGCTGAAATAATTTACTTCTATATGTGCTTTTAAGATAATTTTTCTTAGGTGTAGACTCAAGAAAATGCTACATGTAGCATACATTTATAACAGTTAACTAACTGCTAAGCTTGAAAACCTTCCTTAAGTTTATAAAACTCTTAAAATAAAGAAAATCTACAGTAAATCCCTTACCCTGTTCCCCTGATTTCATTGATTTGACATAGACTTTTTATCCTTTCGAGACTCCAGTTTCAAATGAAGTCAGACTACTTCTCAATTACATGGCTGTTTGTACTCATAGGCAGAACTTCATTTAAGAATTTGAAAAAAATCTAGGGTGATCCTACATCAGGTTATATGGAGGAGAAAGAGCAGCAGATGAGTTGCATTATAACCAGAATGTATAAACAGACACCCAAGTTTCTTGGGCAAAAAAGACTTAACATGAATTGAAAATACATCTGTCTCCCCAGCATATACATATGATGCAGATCCTGCACTAAGAAAGCTGAGCAGGAATACAGTTTGCCCACCCTCATACTGTATGATTTTTTTCTACCCATTTTTCATCCCTGTTGCTTTTTTGGGGAATGGAGTCTCAGCATTCACAGTCTAGAATGTATTTTAATGTAAAGATCATTGGGCAATATTGTGGATTAATCTTGCATAACCAAATTAGAAATAGTGGGCACGTCCACATGTGCAAATGCTATTTTAAAGTAAACTCACCATGGCAGGCACCTACATGTGCGGGGAAGCGGGAGCAGATTTGCTGCTCATGGCAGAAATCTGCTCTTGCTCCTGCACTGACTCTGTGCATCAGCCAGGGGGAGCTCAGGGCTAGGGCTGCTAGCCCAGGGGCTGGCAGGGAGCATGGAGCACCACAGAGATAAGAATCTCCCACCCCCTGCTCCAAGGTCATGGAGCCCAGGCTGAGAGATAAGGATCTCCACCACCCCTCCTGGTGGCTGGGAGATAGGAATTAGGAGTGTGTGAAACGGATCCTATTTGATTCAGATTTGGATTCAGCCCAAATCGGGGACAGTGATTCAATTAATTGATTCTGATTGCTGTCCTCGATTCAATTCGGCTGAATCTGAAGATCTAATGCTGATCTGGAGAATCAGCAATTCAGACATAGACACAGCTTTAAATATTTTTTCTGCATACCTCGAGATACCAGGCACGGCTCATGAACACTGAGATGGTGGGGCAGATGGACAGTCCCATAGGAACATGTCCACCCCCCCCCCTTGCTTGGCAATGAACCTGGAAGTGGACCAGAAATATTTCAGATCCACTTCCAGGTCTGCCGGGGAGCACGCCAGGGCCACTCCCCACCCCTCCCGTGCTCCTCCAGCTTGGCAATCAGCTGTGGGGAAACCCTGGGTGCTCCCCCAGACCGAGGAGGCACTGAGCTGGGGACACGGCAGGGCCTCCAACACGCTCTCCAGCTGACCCGGAAGTAGACCGAAAGTGCTTCTGGTCCACTTCCAGGTCTGCTGCCGAGCACATTGAGGACCCCCCCGTGCTCCTCTGGGACACTCCATGTGCCCCAGCATCACAGCATTCACGATTCACCTGCTACTTAGAGGTATGTAGAAAAAATATTTAAAGCTGTGTCTATGTCTGAATGGCCGAATCTTTCCAAATCAATTTGGAGGGTTCCAGTTTGATTAGGAGGGATAAAAGGGTCCTCTGATTCAATTCAGATTTGGAGGTTCAGCCACTGAATCAGGCCAAATCTCCACTGAATCGAATCAGGGACCGAACCTTCACACAGCCCTAATAAGAATCTCCCAGCCTCAGCTCTGCAGTTCTGAAGCCAAGGCTGGAAGATAAGAATCTCTAAGCCCCTGCTCCATAATTGCAGAATGGGGGCTGGGAGCTGCCTGCTGCCAGGGCAGGGGAACTTGCAGGGACATCTCCCAGGGCAGCTCCTGAGGGCAAGGAGCAATCTCCTACCCCTTTCTGCCCAAGTGACCAGGAGCACATTTGCTCCTGGTGGGCTGTCTATACATGCATACTGTGCAGTAATTACTCCTGAGTAAATATGCTACTTGTATTCACAGGTAGCAAATTTACTCAGGATTAGAGCAAATTACTGTGTAGTGGGTGCATCTACATGAGACGTTAATTGCGCAGTAGCCTAATAACACTGTGCAATAGTGTGCCGGGTAACAACCGTGCTAATACGCTGCTGAGCAGTAGTATTAAGCTGTTTACATGACTGCAAGGCTTGTTCAAGTTCCCCCAGATTTCCCTATTGATCAATACCCACATGAGATTTAAAGCACATATTTATAACTATAGAACATCTACATTTATGCTGATGTACTCAGAATCTGCTTAATCAGGGAATGCATATGGCTAGGGACAGAAATTAAACATAAACCAGTATAAGTGATCCGAAACTGGTTCAAATCTGCATCACAAGAGAAGTTCAGTGCAAGTAAACCACTTTCAAAATGGCCAAAGCCAGTTTAAGATAAGTCTGATACTACATCCATTCAGGTTTAACTATTTCAGGTTAAATTGGAAATTCTGTCCCAGATCTCCCCCAGGTTCAAATTAACTCTCAGTGTCCCAGGATCCCAGGATGCTCTGCATCTCCCCCTCCCTTGCAGGGTGGATGGGCTAGCTTTGGCCCATGCTGTCTGCTCCAGCTGAGCAGGGACCCATGCTCTACTGCTCCCCTGCTTCTGGCCTGGGCCACTGCACTGGGGTAGCTGGCATGTGGTTGCATTTCTGGAATCAAAAATGAATGTCGGTTTACTTGCTTTTCAATTCAATCTATGCAGTTTAGACTAACCTGCAAAGACTGAATTGATTCAGCCTCAGGCTTTTTGATTGTCTGTCCTTAATCATAGTGTTTGAAAGAGAGCATAATGTGATGTGGAAAGGCTGTCTCACAGTGCTCCTACTCTGCCATACCTAGAGATTGAAATTTCTTTGGAACAGCTTCCATAAAGCCAAGAGAGCAATGGCACTAAGAAGCTTTCTGCACTTCCATTTCTTTGCTAGGACTAGCCATTGTTCATACCTTCTACAGCATTAGAGAGGTTGATTTAGGTGTAATGAACTGTTTTAAGTGGTTTAAAACATTCTAAATTCTGTAATTAAAAGGGAAAAAAGTACTGACAAATTTAGCCACTTAAATGTTCTAGGGTCTGGTCACATCACATACCATGCAACTCAAATGATATAGAAAGTAAAGGTGACATTTGCATCTTATTGCTGTGCCTCTTTAATCTGAGCCCAAATTGTGCTGGGTTAGTTCCTTGACATAGGAAAGCATTAAACTACTCTAAATTAAGTTATAATGTCAGCCAATTGTTGGTCACTAGGTGATGAAATGGTAACCAGGGAATGGCAGAACATAAGCACAGTGACAGGAACACAGAGTTTCCCTCTGGTGAAAAATTTCAAAAGAAAACCAGATGAAAATTAGAAAATTATGGGGGAGGTACCCCCCTAAGTGTAAGGGACTTTTTTTTCATTTTTGGAGAGAACTGAAACAGAATCTTTCATTTTGTTACCAGCTACCCAAATGTCTGGGCAGCTGCCTACTCTGGAGTGGCACTGGGGAGACAGGGAGACCTGGGCACAGCCTGCCTCCTGATTTCTATTGATCATCACTTGACAACCAGTGTGTCTCTGTGAACCCAGATTCTATCCTGTCATCATCTTCCCCTAGGAAGTTCTAAGAGCAGCTGAACACCTGCAATGCCAACTATTCTTATCACACTTTGTGCAGATTCTGTGCTCCTGAAAGAACCTGATTTCTTTGGGAAGTCTCCTCTAGCTCCTTATGACAGCTTTACAGATATAACCTCATCCTACAAAAATATTTTTTCAGCATAAACTTGAAGTAAAAAACTATTTGTGCTGCTCTCGTTCCGACTGCTTTCAAAAGGAACTTTGCCAGCATTTTAATGGGTATTGGAATAGGTCCTTTGTATCAGATACATTAGGTCAGTGGTGTCAAAGATACACCCTGTGGCCCAGATGACATGGCCCTGTACTCCTGATCCTGCCCATAGGGCAAGAAATTCAGGATCTGCAGTAATTATAGCTACTACTGCTTATCCAGAAGCCAAATTTCCAGCCCCATGGGAAGCCCAATGGACTAGATGACATATTTATGCTGAAAAAATATTTATATAGGACCAGGTTCTATTTGTTTGGTGGAGAGAGGAGCAGCAACTGATGTGGTTCCCAAATCCACAGTAATTCATCCTGCCATCGCCAAATTTCTAGCCCCAAAGTCCAGATGATACGGTCCCATATTCTAGATCCAGGCTGCGGACTCTTTCCACACAACAGGATGAGTTTGACACCCCTGCACTAGATTATCCCAAACCTTGGTCAAAATAATAACTTAACGCAATTAAAAACATATTGTAGAGACTTTAGACGCTTAAAGATAACTTTTTTAGTCTTACCTCTGGATTGTTTTCAAGCAGTTTTCCTATCCTCTTCAAATATGATGAGTTATAATTAACTCTATAGTATCCAGATAAATTCATATTTAGTAGGATCCAATCATGTTCTGAACCTGATATCTGCATTTCAGGAAATATTTCTGGAAGAGATATTTGAAGGTGGGAAGGCTGTATCTTTTTATCAAATTACAAATCCAGGTATACAATTGTAATCTGAGATGTACATGTTTATCACCATATAATTAAAATGTGTTATTACTACACTATAAGAGGCAAATTCATGTTTGAAGAGACACTGCGCCTATTCCTAGATTTGATACACAATGGGCACATCTACAGGTCACCCTACGGCAACAAAGCAACACGCTATTTCACCATACGGCATGCTACGGCTATGTAGCAATAACGTGGGTCTACACATGATCACCAGCTACCCTAGTATAGGGCATTGCTATGGTGACACAGCAGCAAAATCTAACCGTGCTCCACACACATGGTGCAGTAACCCCCCACATTGTGCCATGCTTTAGTACCTCCAAAAGGAAGTACTAAATCATGTTGCCATAGCAACCTCAGCATAGGGCGATGTGTAGATGCGCCCAATGTAGAGAAGGCACAAAAAACAGCCTACTGTACTCTCTGTGTTCCATACAACACAGCAACTTTCTCTAGGGAATATCCCTAAGGCACTAGCCATGCTTTCAGGAGGCTGGGCCATGGACATTCTGCAATCTTCTCTTACCTAGACCTAGACTAGGAAAGAGATGAATTTTTACACTGATTTAGCTAATTCCAATTAGGTTTCTATAATTAGGATACTATAATCAAATCCACATTAGAGGATTTCCTCTTCATAGTTGGGTCAGTCAGGTCTCAGACCTCTTCACACCTCTGATTAACAAAGTTATGCTAGTAGCAGGCTGTAGCATAGACATTGTCTTACAAATCTAAAAACAGATTTATATAGCACAAGGTATCATCAGGAAGGGATACTTGAGTTAATCTGAATGAGCTGACAGAAAAGGGTGGACATACACTTTATTAAGTACTGCAAAGTTGAGAAAAGCATTTGAAAACTTTACCATAGTCCATGAGTCTACTTTATAGATGGTCCAAAGTTTGGAGGGGTACAAGGCACAATTCAGGCTGGTTTCTAGGACCTCAACTCCAAACTTTTTAATGACTTGACTTTTATAACTGTAACAACCTAATAAACCTTTTTTAAAAAAAAACTGAAATAGCAGTGACTATTAGAGCTGAACAAATGACTTACTCTTGGCCAGAGCAAGCAAAAGAAAAAAGAAAGGTGGTGTTTCTGGAAAATCAAGAGAAATGCACTTGGAGCCAAATGAAACTTACATTCAAAACAAAGCATTTCTTTTTGATTACAGCCATTTTGATTACTTGTTTAATAAAATCAAATGCAATTTGGAACAAAGGTCATTCATAACAGGATGGAGGTGCCATTCACAAAAATGTGGTGATGGTAGTAGCACAGATTGTTGTGTTGTGGTGTTATTATTGCCCAATGACTCAGGCTGTTACCTATGTGCAAATCCCTTCATTACCAGATATGGAGTAAGGACTGGAACCTGGGTGTTTCTCCATCCCAGCTAAGTACCCCAAACACCAAGCTATAGGATCACAGGAAAACAGGGCTGTGAGGGACCCATCAAGGTCAACTAGCTCATTCCCCCTGCTCAAGGCAAGGTCATTCTTGCCTAAACCATCCCAGTCAAGTGTCTCTGTAACCTGGTCTTGAAAATTTCCAGGGATGGAGATTCCACAATTTATCTCAGTAGTCTGTTCCAATGCTTGACCATGTTCAAGTGGTTGATTTGCAAGTGACACTCCTGTTAATGCAAACCAGTTGCCACTGGCCTTTTTTAAAACAAAAGCATATGGATGGCTCATATTCAGTTTATGGTCTCCTGTAACCATGAGGTCTTTCTCTGCAGTACTGCAACCTAGTCAGTCATTCCCCAGACTGTATTTATGCATGCAATTAATCCATCCTAAGGGCAGGACTTTGCACGTGCCTTTATTAAGCCTCATCTGATTGACTGTGGGCCATTTTTTCAGTCTATCCAGGTCTTTCTAGATGTTGTCCCTACCTTCTGGAGTATCTGCAATTCCACCCAACTTGGTATCATACACAAATATGCTAAGCGTGCACTTAATCCCATTTTCCAAATCAAGGGTAGTCAACCCCCAGTCTGCAGGCCAGATCCAGCTTGTGGCCTTCCCATGGGGCTGGAAATGTGGTGGCAGGAGAGCAGTGGCACTGTTCCTCCACCACCAGATTTTACAGGTTCCTCATCCCAGTGGACAGAGCCCAATCCCAGTACACAGGAGGCTGAGAGGGGGCAGTGTCAGGCTCCTGGAACCCAATCCAGGCATACTAGGGTTGGAGTGGGCAGTGCTAGGTCCCCTGGGATCATTCACAGTTGCAGAGATCACTGCCAGACTCCTGGGGACCAAACCTGGCAGGCAGGGGCAAAAAGAGTTACCTTCAGGCCCACAGGAACCAAACCCAGCATGAGGGAATGGTGCCAAGCCCCTGGGGACCAATCTCTGCACATGGGGCCCAGCAGAACCTAATTTTGATGTGGGAACGGAGGCGGGGGGGGGAGGGGGTGCCAGGCCCCAGAGACTAATCCAGGCACTTGAGTCAGGGAGAAGATGTTGCTGGGCCTGAAGGCCTGTTCTTGGCATGTGGGGCTCAATTCCACCCATGGGCCAGCCCCACCCCATTTATTTGGCCCACAGGACCAAAAGGATAAACACCAATGCTGCATGTCATTAATGAAGATGTTAAACAATGCAAGACCCAGGACAGATCCCTGGGTAATCCCACTTAACACCTAAAGAATGAACCACTGGTGACTACTTATTAAGTATAATGATCTTGGAACCAGTTGTGTATCCACTTTAGAGTACTTTTATCTAGTCTGTATTTCCTTAGTGCATTAATAAGAATGTTGTGGGAGACAGTGTCTAAAGCCTTGCTAAGGTCAAGATACATCACATCCACTACTTTCCCCCATCCACACAGCCTGTCACCTTATTGCAGAAGGAAATTAAGTTGGTCAGGCATGACTTGCTCTTGGTGAATCTCTTGCTGGCTCTTCCTGATCACTATGTTCTCCTCTGGATGCTTCACAACAGATTCCTTGACTCTTGACTGGAAGGATCAATGAGAATACCACCTGCCCCCCATCCCCAATCCCCTTCATCCTTGCATCCAGAGCCATGTAGTCACTTCTGATCTGTTCCAGGTCACCTCTGGCAGTATCATTGGTGTCCATGTGCATGAACAGCATTTAGTCAAAGTAGTCAGAGAGTCAGATACATCTTGGCAATCTTTTCATGATGAGGTTTTCCAAGGGAATGAGGGTTTCTGGTGGGGAACACACCTCATGAACCAACAAGTCAGGCCAGCAAATGGATGCCTCCATGCCCCACAGGAGGGAGTTGCCAGATAACACCACCCATAACTTCCTCTTGGCAGCTGTAGTCTTGATCCTCACCCACCTAGGGGTGCATGGCTTACTAGATCTGGATCTCTCCTGCCACTGGAGTGGGCTCTTTTTTATCTGATGCCAGGGCTTCATATTCATTCTCCATCTGGACAGCTGCAGGTTCAGAAGAGGAGTGCTGTTTGTTGCTTCCACCTTTCAGACTTCCTGTGTCTTCTGTGTCTTCCAGTACAGACAGTCAAAAAGTCTAAGGTTGAATTGATTCAGTCTTTGCAGGTAGTCTAAGCCAGGGGTTTTCAACCTTTTTTTAGTAAGTGTAGCCCTGGCAGCCCCCTTTTTAGTAAGTGTATCCCTGGGGTGGGGGGTGCCAACCAGCCAGACACCAAGCGGGGGGAGAGGGAGTTCAGGAGGATGGCGAGCAGCCAGATGGCAAGCGGGGGGAGGGAGGGTAGTGAGCAGCCAGACACAGAGCGGGAATGTGGCAAGTGGCAACAGTGTAGCATCTGTGCGGCCCTGCTCTCGCCCCGCCCTGGCCCTGCTTCAGTGAGGCAGCGGCATGGGGTGGCTGAGCTCTGCCCCCACCCACTCCTGCATATCCCCTGAGACCTTTCAACGCACCCCCAGGGGTACGCATATCCCCGGTTGACAACCCCTGGTCTAAGCTGCTGAGATTGAACCAATAAGCAAAGGAACAGACATTCACCCTTTTGATTCAGGAAATGCAGCCACATGCCTGCAGTGGCTCAAGTCAGAAGCCAGGGGGCACTAGAGCACAGCTCTCTGGCACGTAGCCAGCATGGGCTGTGTGTTCACTTCCTCTTCCTCCTGTCCCCTAAGGTCTCTGGGATTTACAGTACACAGCAGCAGGATTCTGCAGGGTTGGTCATCACTTCCTCTTCCAGATGCCTCTGGGATTTGTAGTTCAGTTGCAGCCAGCAGTAAGTAAACAAGGCAAAGCAGCTCTGTGCTCAGCAGAGAAGGAGTTTAACCCCCCTCTCTGGCTCCCGTTCCCAGCCGGGGCTTGTCTGGGGGCGGTCAGTGAGCCAGCCAGTGAGCCAGCCCTCACTGGACCAACTAGGGAGCAGAAGGGCGGTGTCAACCCTCCTCTCTGGAGCAGACAGCACAGCCAATCCCAGGACTGCAAAGCATGCTGGGATGCTGGGGGACTCTGATTTAACTTGAACCAGGAAGGGGTCTGGGACAGAAATTTCATAAACTGGTTTGACTTAAATCAGTTAAGTCTGATACTACATTCAACCGGGTTTATCTTAAACCTGTTTCAGCCATTTTGAAATTGGTTTATGTGCACTGAACTTCTGTTCTGTTACAGGTTTAAACTAGTTTCTGATCACTTAAACTGGTTCATGTGTAACTTCTGTCCCTAGCCCCAATGTCTTCTCTGGTTGTCCCTCTACCATGATGGTGGAGGTATCTTGATATACAAAGTTGATAAAGGCCTCACGCTCATAGATGCTTCTAAGCCTATCAACCTCCTGCAGCTTTGGAATTGTGACGTCTTCCAACCATCCTGTTGATTCTCCTGCTAGCTCCTTTTTCCTCTTCTGTTGTTACTTCCTGAAAAAAAATTCTCTTCCTAATTAACCTGATTTCATTCAGTAAGCTTACACAGTGAAGGATGGGTAAGAAAGAGAGTGACCAGGTAAGCTCTCCAGATAACTCCCCACTCAAACTCCTACTCACACCCCACTGTTAGCTAGCTTTTTGGCTGGTCCAGTGATTAAATCAATCTCTCCCTCATCCAGCTGAACTTATTTTACAGGCCAGTGGTAATGTAGTTATCTGACATGTAGTAGCCAGAAAATCCTGTTCCAGCAGTTCATGAAGAATAGGCATCTTAACAGTGTAAAGGAGAGGGAGAGCACCATCACTATTTTGTGAATGGCAACTAAAGAATCATCCTCTGTGTACTTTAATTGGAGTGGCTCTTGGAGCCACTCTAATTAAAGTGATCCCCTCCTCCCACTCCCAAAGCACATGTATAAATGACCAGAGATGGGAAAAGAATGCTGTGGAAATCTTACCTTATAATGTCCACTGAATTATAATAATTAAAGCAGTACCTTAAACAACATTTGTTGATACACTTTCAAAAAAAGAAAAAACGCATGTTTAAACCTAAAAGTTAGCTAATAATTAATGTGGACTTTTTATATTGAAATATTATTCTCTCTCATCTCATTCAAAATATATTTACTGATTATGTAAATGTTTAAAAATATAAACTATTTATAAATATGTTTACAAAAGTTGAGAGGTGACTGAAAGATTTTTTTTTTCTACTTACTGCTAGTTTCATCTAGCCACACTATTGGTTGTGAAGATCCATTTCTTACCCAAGAAATAGGAACAATCCATGTGTTACTTAATAAAACAGAAATTAGACAATATCATTATTTCTTTCACTTAAGAACACAAATTCTAAACTGATGTTTAATACGATTGCAATTTTTTTTTTAAATTGCAGCTATCTTTTGCCCCTGTTTGATGTTAGTACTCTTGCTGGGTCAACTCCCAGTCTCACACTAGACAAAGAGATTTAGGATTAATTTGGCCTGTACTCTTTGAGGTGATTCTTAAACACCAGTTTCATTCTCTAAGGACTGCTTTCCTTCTGACTGTAATTTTATTCTCCTACCTTCTCTCCTTTCATGACTCTTCAACATATCCTTGACATCTTTAAATTCCTATTCAGAAACATTTTTGGTTAAACGAAGTTCTGGGCAGGCAAAAAAACCCCAAAAAGTGACTTGAACAGTTGGCCAGAAAATCTGGGGGAAGTGTCAATCTGCTGCAGATGGATATGAAAGCTACTGAACCAGGGAGATATACAGGGAAAGGAAGATTCATGTAAATACACCCTCTAGATCTGCCTATATTGGTATGGGATAGGATTTCTTACATGGTATTTCCCACTCCTGGGTTTAGATGTAATGAGAATCAATGGCGATAGGATGGTGTAACATCTCTAAACCAGCCTAGAATATCTGATTCCTGGTAGTCTCCTGCATGTTGGAAGCAAAGTTAACTTCCTGTCTCTCTTTGGAGTACTGTTATGGCTTGTGGATTTCACCACTGGTCATCTACAAGCTACTAAGAGTCATATAAATCAGCCCCTAAATCAGCATCTAAGTGGGCACCAAGCACTATCCACTGACTTAAAAAGGGAAATGCTTAGTGCTCAGTATTTTTGAAAAACAGTTATTTATTTAACAGTCCAAACAAGGAGCTTCACTTCAGTAATTCCTGGTGGAAAATCTTGGTCTTTCATAATCTTGCACTGTTGCTATCCAGGAAGAAGTCAAGAAGTCAAAAGTTTGCCTTAGCCTTATGTTGACTGGTGCAAGAATAAATCAAGACTTGAACTCACTACTTTGGTCCCACAGCAAGTTGCCTTAACTGGTCTGGCTCTGTACTCCACCCAGGAGGAAGTACTGTATTCACCCAAACACAAGAGGCCCCTGTGTGTAAGATGACCCCCAAACAATCAGATTCTACACACAGAAAATGTATACATGTATTATAATTTTATATGTATGGAATCTAGTGATTACAGGATCATCCTAAATCCATGCCCCCACACACTACTGCAGGTGGTGGGGGGAAGAGGTGATGAGGGGGCAGTAATGGGGCAGGTGGTGGGGGACAGACAGGGGAGAGGTAGTAGGGGGACACATAGGGCAGATGGGGAGGCAGTAATGGAGCAAGCAGTGGAAGGCAGCGGGGTAGGGTTGTAGGTGGCAGGCAGAGAGAGGCAGGGAGCTTGCTCCTTGCTGCCGCCCCACCACATTTACCCTTCCATTATGCCTGTCTCCACCCCCACCTCCAGCCTCAGGCTACCCCAATTCCCCATTCCCCTCTCCTCCCTGCTCCATGCTGCTTCTGCTCCCTGCAGCCTCAGGTGCCCACCCCCCCATCTACAGCAGCTGCACAATCTCCCCCACTTCCTTATGCTTAATTGTAAGGCGAGAGTCTTCTTCATTTCACCACATATTAAATGGGGTTAGGAGGGAGCCTTTTCTTCTAATCATGTAAATACGCTAATCACTTGGAAAAGTGAATAGCTGAAATACTAAGTTGAATTCATGGCTCAGACTGGATTCTGGCAAAAAAGCAAACAGATTTTCAAAGAATCATATACTAATTAAACATTTCTCTGTAATAAAAGTAAATGTAGAAATAAATGCTAAAAATATAAATTTCACATACTTGTAACTAGTAGTATTCTCCTTTTTCCTTATATTATGAAATTGTTCCTGACTGATGGTGCCAGTTGATGGATCAAATGTTAAAACTGGGAAGCCACCTTGGCATGTCCATGGGTCCATTATATTTTTTACTGATGCAGGCAACTGAACTTCATCCTGTGCATCTATAATCTTCAAAAAAGTTCTTAATTAGATATATATATGATTTATTTACATTATTCCAGCAGCACTTTAGTGATGAATCAATGTAACAAAAAGAAAAAGAGCAGTATTGTCATTAAAATAGGAAGGATCCAATCCCTTGAGTGAAATTTAAAAAACTGAGACACCATTTCTAATTTTTGTAACTTGATTTTTAGCTTATCTTTTTTATTTAAAGATATTCATACTCTTGGGTGGTTAATAACTTATTTAATTTGTATAGGAAAGGAAACTGTTTATTTAATTCACATAAAATTCAAGATTACCACTATACTAACTAATTAATTAAATACCATTACACCTGAAAATTGGTTCTGGGCCAGATTTCTGTCACTGTGACTCATCATAGCCTCCACTGATTTCAATGCTGCTACAACAAATTGTACCATCGAGAAACTGGCTTCTGCTCTGACTTGTATTATGATGAAATTTTCATTTTATGGTAACTTTGGCATAGACATTATTATTGAAATTATTATTATCTCCTATTATTATCTCCTATTAATATTTTCTTTCCTATAGTCAGGGCTTATTCAGCCTTCAGCATGTATTTAAAGAGCAATAAAATGAGAGTGGACAAGATCCATACACACATACTTGGAAGCTCCAGATAGGAATGTCATCCTCATTTGTGCTGGACCTTTAAGCAGACCGTTAATCCACATTTATATATAGCTGATCTTTCTTTTTTTAATCTTTTTGGTTCTGCTTTTATTTATACTCTACTACTGACCATGTTGTATTGTTTATGCTTGATATAAAATGCTATATAGAACCCAAATTCTGGAATGTGTTTACTACTGCCCAAGACAGGGACAGATACACAGTGGGTACGTCTACACATGCAAATGCTGCGAGGTGGGTTTATTCTAGAGTAAACCCACCATGGGCAGGTGTCTACATGTGTTGGGGATTCAGGACCAGATTTGCTGCTCCTGGCAGCAGTTTGCTCTTGGCTCCTCTGGCCCTGCACTGGCACCCTGCAGCAGCCAGGGGGAGCTCTAGGATCTCCCTGGGTGCTAGCCCAGGGGCTGGCAGGGAGCTCCTTGCCCCCAGGAACTGCCTGCTGCTGGGGTGGGCTCTGCCCCCCAGAGTCTGGGCGGGAACAATGTCCCCCTGCCCCAGCACCAGGGAGTTCTCAGGCCTGGCTACCCCCACTAGTGGATCGGCACAGGGGGCTGGGACCTGCCCCTCCCCTGGAGGTCTTTCCAAGCCCCGTGCCTCAATTGCCAGTTTGGGACGTGGGGCTGCGGCCTGCCCCTGACTGGGGCAGTTCCCACCCAGCCCTGGACTGCACAGGGAAGGGTGTATGTGCAGCCCAGAGCTGGCTGAGGACTGCCCAAAACTGTCCAGGTCAGGGTCAGGTCCCAGCCAGCTCCAGCACAGGCAGAAAACTCTCCCCATGCAGGGATCTTGTTCCCAGCCCCTCCTCTGCAATCTCCTGGGTAGGGGGACAGTGTACCTGCCTGGGCTCCAGTCACAGAGCCCACCCTGGTAGCAGACAGTTCCCAGGGGCAGGAAGCAATCTCCTGCCCCCTACTGCCCACATGACTGGGAGTAAATTTGCTCCTGGCCAGCCACCTACACATGCTGTAATGCATAGTAATTACTCAGTAGTTAATTTGCTACTTGCATTTACAGATAGCAAATTAACTGCCAAATAAATAAAATTACTGCACAGTAAGGGTTAGCATGTGTAGACAGTGATGCTTACTATGCAAGAATTAGCTCTACTGCACAGTGAAACATCTCGTGTAGATGTGCCCAGAGAAAAGCAGAATCATACAGTGAACTATAGTTAGCTTGACTTCTAGACTGCTAAACACCTGCAGTATGCATCTTTAAAAACATCTTTAAAACATTATTATAAAACAAATCTATATCTGCTCTGAAGAACCCCATGCTCAAGCCTTTGGCAAAATTTATTCACAGCAAGAATCACCTATGCAGGTTTTTCCACCCAGTAGGACCCAACAGTTATTTCTCTCACCCTTACATCACCTGTAGTCTTCAAAGAATTGGGTGTGGAGCAAGAATAAGGGTAGACATTCTACTTCAAGTTCCCAGTTGGTTTATGTGCAACGTTTGGCAGCCCAAACAATAAAGTAAAAATACTGAGAAGACGTTATAAGTACCATTTGAATATGGGTCCACAGATCGTCTTGGTTAGCACTTGAAAAGGAAAATGCCTTCAGGTAAGACTGAAATGAAAAACATAATCTTGAGTGCTCATTTAAGGTAATAAAAAATGTCAGCAAAGCAAACCTTTATTCATGCTTGCCTTTGCTTACAAAATGATAAACCCAGACAAAGTTTCTTTTTCTAAACTTACATTAAGTGCTTTGAGAAAAAGCCTCTCAGTCAGAAAGCTAGAAAGCATCCAGATAACGGAAGCCCCCTAAGGCACAAAAAAGTACATGAAAATATTACATTAACGAACTCTCAACAGTTAGTTACTGACATTGAAAACCTATTTTTTTCAAAAGTGATGCTGACTGGTTGTACTTTAAAAATTTAGCAAACACTGAAAATGCATTCATACTCATTTTCTTTTGCACTAATCCATGAACAGTAAAAGCTGCCCTAACCAGCACCTTATAAGCTGGCATGCTCTGTTAACCGGCATGCCGGCTTGTAAGGTAAAAATGAAACTGGAAGTGCCCATCGTGGTTCTTCCGGTTTCACTGAGCCCTCATGGCCTGGGGCAAAGCAGCCTGCATGGGGCCCCCCTCACTGTCCCTCAGGGCCCGTGAGGCCTGCGGGAGGGTCAGCAATGTGGCGGGAGGGGCAGCAACGCCCTGGATGTGGCAGGAGAGGTGGCGGCCCAAACAGGTAAAAGACACCTGTTCAGGCCTCTCAGTTAACTGTCATATTTTGTTATCCGGCACTCCCCATTCCTCATGGGTACTGGATAACAAAGCTTTTGTTGTATATGTGTATACTAAGAAACAAATTAAACCACAAAAATTAAATCTTAGATATAAAGATAACTAAACTATGGCAACCTTTGTGATTTTCAAATCTACTTCTTACAATACCATTACAGACTACAAAATAGATGTAAAGTATCTGGCTTTCTTTTCACCTTACTGTAAGTGACGATGTCAAATAGAGAATCTAATATAAACGTTCCTTTGACCTTTTCTTCTTTCTGTGACAATGATCGATCACTCATTGCATCTTCGGCTCTTAAGACAGGTTGCAAGACACTCTCATAAAACATATGATCCTGAAAATTATGAAAAAACAGAAATTTAGTTTTGAGTTTGCAGAAAACAAAAAGTTTGAAGTAGTCCATGTCGATCACAGAATTAAAATTCATAGCAATGGGAAAAATATATATAAAAACAGAAACAGTTTCCCACCACTCTACAAATTTACAGTTGTTTCCCAAGTAAAAGGGAGAATGGGCTCAAATCTCACAAGTCCTCCTCATGTGGAATTACCCTTTAAGGCAATGGAAGTTTGGCACAAGAAAGTTTTAGGTTTGAGTGTGTTAAAAGGTAATTATGTTTTAAGCATTAATTTTAAAAAAATGTAAAAACTGTTAAACATTCCAAGTCAACAAAATAAACTACAAAATATAAACATGGATTATGGATTTACATTTGAATTAAAATAATGTTTTAGCTCTCTTTCCTGGCAAGATTCAGCTTCTGGATTCCAAAAGCTAGTCAAAAGAATATAGGGAGTACTGCTTTAAGTGCTTCCAGTGCCATTGGATAACAAATATATAAAGTTAGTCCCAAGTGAGCCCCCACACACAGCATTAATGCGATTTAACTATTCGCACCTAAATTTGATACCTGCATTTGCCGGTATCAAATTTAGGCGTGAATAGCCTAAATTCACTATTTTTAACTAACTTTAGTCCCAAGTCAGTGCACACACAGCATTAATGCGCTTTAACGCCTACATGTGTAGATGCCTACCTAAACCCACTTAATGTGCATTAAGCTAATGCGCATTAAATTTAGGTGTGCTTAAATGCACATTTAGACACGCCCATCGTAACTATAATTTAAATGCACCAGGAGAGTAACCAACCCAGCACAAGGATGTCAGATCTCATACTTGGGGAAATGAAGTTTATGCTCATTTGCTTTGTTTGAAAATGCATTTTATATTTTCACGTCTACCCACAAGTTCAGTTAATAATTTCAGTCTATAAAACAGATTTTAGTTTGTTTGTTAAAACACTGCAAGTCACTTTAAATGTACTTGCCAAAGAGGTGGAGCCTGATTTATTTGAAGATTATTCTCACCGTTGCAAACAGTTAATTTTTTGAGCCAAATTTTCAGTGTCTATAATTTTGCACCTTCATTTAAGCTGTATGTGAAAACCCTCTAGTTACAGGTACAGATTTTTAAAAGGGCAAACATCACCAACAAAAAGCAAGCAAAAACTTCATTTCAGTTTAAAAATTAGTTCTCTATTTTTTCATGGTATTACATGCTGATTTATACAAAATAAAAATGTTGTTGACATTCAAAAAAGCCTGTTCACAAATCCCATGACCAAAAAAAAATAAATATGATTTGATCCTCCTGACAGAATGCATTTGACATGCCTGAGTTAAGTTTCCAATTAATCACATTCTTAAGTACTTTGGTGAATTAAACAGGAAAGGTGGTGAATGGTCTACCGCCCAACTAAGTTAAAAGTTCACAGCAGTGCCAAGCATATAAACAGAATGGTGTAGATCACAAGTGACTAAGATATAGTCCATGGGCTAGATGGGGTCAATGGAGCTATGTCATTCAACCCACAGATATCCCTACAGATCTGGAAATTTGGTGGTGAGGAAGCAGCGTCAGCATTAATTATCCATGACAGCACTGATCATTCATGGCCCACAGAACCACCCCTTTAGGGCCAAATGAAGCTGGCAGTACTGGTCTCTAGGACAGCAGTAGGTTTTAATTTTTAATCCAGTCAATAAAATAATGGGCTTGACTACTGTGAAGAAAAATGGGAAATAAATAAAACACTCGCCCCAGGGAATGAGTCCAAGAGGGAGAGAGAAATGAGAAGAGGAGGAAAGCGATGCTTCCGGAGCAGCTGCTCCGGAAAGATACAACAACCCCAAGAGGGGAGAGGCTGGGCACGGAAGGAAAGGGTGTCAGAAGATGTCACCGAGTGGAAAGCTCAGAAAGAGAGCAGGGATGAAAAGAAACCTCTAGGACCCAGCCCGAGCTGGGAGAAGATCTCGAGCAGATCTGGTTAAGCTAGGAATCACTGGTGAAAAAAGAAAAAAAAACCCCAAATCTTGAAAGGTAATACTCAAACAGCAAGAGGAAGGGCGCTGAAGAATATGGCTATCAGACACGTTACAGTGACAGCGGGTCTTGGGTTTTTCTGTTAATTGGATTTTGTTTTGAGCCATTCGGGCTCTATAGAAGACAGGTATAAAAGAGACTGGGAGATGACTACTCCTTAACAAGACTGTGACATATTGTGAGTTCTTGGGAAGAAAGAACACGCCTAGAGATCAATAAATAAACAAAATGCTGGGAGTTATAAATGGGATTGATTAAGAATGCTATGTTGGTATTATAGATGTTCAGTTAAGATTATATCCAAATTGAATTCTGCCTAAGTTAATATTAAGACGTAGTTGATGTGGAGAGAAGTAACAATAGCCTTACAAACAGCGAGTTGATTATGGATGTTGCACCCGTTGGGCTTCGATCATTCGGTCCCATGCCACCCGGCTTTGGATGTGTATGGCTGTTCTTTGATCTGTCCCTCTGGTCTTAGTGAATAGATGTTCCTCCCCGGGGTAGTCTCTTCCCCAGTCCTGCCTGCCACAACTTTGGTAATTCTTTCAGTGGTGAAGTCCGACTACTGGGGCTAATCTACATCCAGGACCTCTGGCGGAAGTCTTCTGCAAGGCTCCAACCTCCCCTGTACCTCGCCCTGAACCCAGCCACGTTGGGTTGTTGATATCTTCCTCAGCCTGACCCTCACTTGCAGGTATTCTAGTTTCTCCCAAAAATACGGGTTAGGTTTCACACTATTACCTAAATCAGAGCCACGCTTTATGGGTCTGCCCAGTCGTTTCAATCCTTTATATGGCAGAGCCCTTCTTCCTAATGGGTTAACACTAGGGCTCTATGTCACCAACCTCCCGACCCCTCCAAAGGTGGGAAACCAAAACCACAAAAGAAAGAATATTCACAGTACCCGTGACCTTCTGACTGCACCCAAAATCAGTCAGCTTAGCCCGAGAGTTCCTTAACTAGCCCTGACCTATGCCTACCCACACCTGGGTGCCACCCTCTTCCCTTCCTTGCGGTAGGTAATCTGCGAACTAATTAGACCCTTGACGTCCTCTCCAGCTCCAGCTATTTAATATTCCCTGTTGGGCAGCTTTATGCCATGGGGCTTGTTTCCGGCAGCCCCTGTTGCTGCTTAAGCTCTCCGCCTCCCACTTAGGGCTGTCCCTGGAGCCTGGCCGAACCTGTATCAATCCCTCTTGACTCGGCACCTAGGATCCCATCGCTCTCCCGTCTTCTCCAGGGTCCACCCTGGTTACCCCACTCGACTTTCTGATGCCCTGGACTCTCTCCCAGGGGTCCTCCATTGGGATGCGGCGTGCCCGCTTCTTCCCTCCCTGGCCTGCCGCTGACGTCTTCTTCCTGAGGGACTCAGAGGCAGCCTTCTGCCCCGTGGGAGGCGATCCTGTCTCTTCTAGCTTCAGGAAGGGGTCCCAGGAGTACTTCCTCTGTTGACTCACTTCCCGCTCTCCTCCCCTCTGCCTCGCTCGTGATCCCTTCTATCTCCCTGTGTCGGCTCTTCCTCTCTCTCTCTCTCCAGCTGGCCACAGTTTTAAAAAGACGCGGCTAACGAGCCACACGGGTCCCGCCACCGCTTCCAGTCTCACCGCGGCTCCAGCTACAGGTAAGGGATTTTCCCTCACTCTCTCTTTCTCCTTGTCTTTCCTGGGGCGTTCCGGCCCCAAGGGGTCCCCCTTGACCCCTCGGGGTCTGTCCCTTGTGTCCTCCCTGTGACAGATGTAAAACTAAATCTTGACAAATAAAGACAATTGTAACCTAAACAAAGTAAGGCTGTGATTTCAAATGATGATGAGCGTTGGGTGCCATGTAGAAGAGTTACAGTAAAAGGGGTAACCCAAGAGGATCCCCACATAAGTTGCCAGAGCCCTACTGTAGTAGAAAACAAATAACACCTCCCGACTAATAACATCATACAATAATCAATACATGGCAGGAAAGAGTCAGAATATACCACAAGTAGTCCAAGACTGAGCAAACTGAGAAAAGAGGGGCTAAAATAATACAGTAAGCTATTAACAGTACCTCACAACTACATAGAAATCAAAGTGATAATTCTAGTTTGGGATCACAGAAACATAAACAAATCATTGCATATTTATTCTGAAACTTTGTGTCACTGTACCCCTCAGTAAACTATAACACTCTTGTACTTGGTATGTTTAGTTCTATACAATATGCTAAGTTTAAAACTTCTCTGTGAACTCTCATACATGCTTTATTTGACTTGTAAACCTTTCTCTGCATCTTATAAGTAGGTACTCTACTTATCCAGCTGTACGGATTAGTTTTTTACTGATTTGAATAATTATTAAGTTTTATTTTTGTTTGTTTAGTTGTTTTCATCTTTTAAATAAACATTTCCTACAAGCTCATTTTAATTTTGTCTGCATAATTTACCAATCTTCCTATAATTACGACAAAATGAATATCAAAACAAAGACCCACATCTGAGTTACTCAACTTCTAGCCATTCCTTTGGCCTAATTCTTCTCTTAATTAAAATGGTCAAAGGAACTGTGTAGATTCAATGCAAGAGCAAAGCAAAGTCCATTACCTTTGGTGTACAGAAAACAGGAACAAAATTACTGTGTAATTTCCTATGCTGCATTTGATGTTGAATGTGAAGTAACACTTTAACTTTAAAAAGGCAACAAAGCAGTTTGTTGATTATATGACTTTATTTTTTCTAAGTGATGTTAATATGACCATTTACTATTTAAAGAGAGCCTTAAAAACATTAAAGGATAGCCCTTGATCTTAAGATTGTGTTTTGTTCTTCCCAGTTCCTAGAATATTAAAAGCATTTAACTAACAATCTCAAGAACCACAGTCTAATTCTAAACTATGTCTTGACTATTTTGTGCACAGAGACCCTGGGCCTAGTTGAACTGACACCTCCCCCCAGGATTTTCCCGGCTGTTATACACAAAAGTGATAAGTACTATAGGAATAAAGACAAAGACTCTTCTGGGGTGCACTTTTTTGTATAGGGGGCAAAGTCCAAGTGTTTAGTTCTCTCTGCAGTGCATTGAATCCTGGCTAACATAATGGCCCCTACTATAACCTTCAGCAAGGAATCTGGCAGAAAGTAACCTTTTTCTGTGCCCATCTTAGACTGTAGCTGAAAATCTGGCATTATCTGTATCTAAAAAAAAAAGACAAGATTTACCTTTATCACAAACACTGATTTTCATACAGGCAAAAGTTAAGCCCTGCTTTAATGCAAAGCTCAACACAGTCTTACCTATGGAGTTTTTCACTGGGTGTGGGCATATGTCACAATTAAAATGTTTCAAAGGGCCAGCTGTACACAGAGGACATAGATAAACTTACATTTGCGGCTGTTTCAAAAGGAGAGAAAGCTGCTGATCCTGTTACGTTCTAACAGTTACATGTGGACAAGGTGGGAACAATATAAATGTGACAAAACAGCTCCAATTTTATCCCTAGATGAAGCAGCATTAACCTTGGAGCTGTTTTGCTTGATCTGTATAGGTAGTCCCAGCTAGTGCACACAACTGCTAGAACATAACATTGCATTCAGTACCCCAAACCAGGACCACACTGCAGTTCACAAGGGGAAAGCATTAACTTTCAACGTGTATAGCCTCAAAGCAGGAGTGGAGGGGCATTTCTGGACTGATGGTGAAAAGTTAGGAGTTTGCCCTTTCAAGGCTCTTCACTGGTAAGGGGGGCAGAAGGCAGTGGAAAGGCACCACCTAAGAAGCTGATGCACAGTTCAGTGAGGCTTTGATAATCCACAGGTTCCTACATCCTGGGGAGGGGAAGTTATAAATTGCGGTGCAACAATAGAGATTTTTTTGGCTGATACCCATGACCAATTTTTAATAAACCATATCAACCGATACCGATCCCATTCCCGATATGTAGCCCGGCAGCATGGAGAGCAGCATCCAGCTACTAAGTCTGTTGTGGGGGAAGGGATGAGAGGGGAGAGAAAAGGTGTGGGTGGGGGGCAGATCAAGGCCCCCGCCGCAAGGGAGGGAGAGGGACTGGGGCAGGTGCTGCACAGCCAGGGTGGGATGGGGCACAGGATGGAGCCACGGGAGGGGGTGTGGGGCAGGCAGCTCCTGCTGCTGCACGCACCCCAAGAGGGCATGGGAAGCCTGTGCCTCCTGGATCTGTGTGCAGGATGACGGCAGCCTGCCAGGCTCTTCCTGGTGGGGGGACTAGGCTGTGCTTGGGGCAGGTGGTGGCGGGGCTGGGAGGAGGCTATGGGAAGGGATATGGTGAATTTTGGGATGGCTGTAGCCCCACCATAACCCCGCCTCCTAGCACCACCACAGCCTGCACTGAGTGCAGCCCAGCCCAGCCCCCCTGCCAGGAAGAGCCCGGAGCCATCCCTGGCCTCAGTCCACCCTTGCCCTGCACACAGATTCAGGGGGCATGTGCCCCCCATGCCTTCCCAGGGTGCATGCAGTGGCAGGAACCACTTGCCCCCACACCCCCCAGATGAGCTGTGGTTCTGTCCCATGCCCCACCCCACCTGAGCAGCACCTACCCCAGTGCCTGGCCCACTCCCTCCCTCTCCACAGGGACCTCAGTCTGTCCCATTCCATGCCCCTTTCCCCACAACAGACTTACTAGCTGGACGCTGTTCTCCATGGTGGCAGGCTACACTCCTGGCCAGCAACGTGCTCCTCTGTAGCTGCGCTCATGCATGGAGCATCTATCAGTGACATTATCAGCCACATGTACTGGTGCCTCCTGAGTTGGGGATGGCACCTGCCCCCCAGCAGCTAGTCAGCAACTGGGTGGGGGGGGTCCACTGTGGCCAGTTGTGCTGACTGGGGGGGGAGCAGATGTGCCCCCATAGCTGATCACACCAACCCAGAAGTGCCAGTGGCATGCCCAGAAGTGTCAGCAGCACTTCTCCTGGCACCCCCACTCCCTGGCCAGTGCTCTCAGAGGATGCACCAGAGCTCCTGCCTGCCCCCCCACACCTCTTTCCTAAGCAGGAACGCTGCTGTCAGAGGATGTACCAGCGCTCTCAGGGGGTGCACATGTATTCCACATCAGCCAAAAAAAGCCAATTGCTGATAATGTCAATTTTCCTTATATCAGTGTTGATACGATATGGGACCAATGTATCAGTGCACCTCTAGTTATAAACACTTTCCCTCCAGTCTGAGATTCAGCTCATGCCTAGATTACTAGTTCCACCCTTCCATTCTTGCAGTTAACACAGAACCCGGTATTTTGTCTGTTGTGGGAATTGTGCTTGTTGTCTTCTGGGAAGGTCTGGGTTAGGGCAGGGTTTTGCAGATCAGGAACCAAGAGGGATGAGTAGGGAGCTCAGATTCAAAATGCCCAAATTTAACAGGTTGCTAGTGTGTAGTGAAATGCTAATCCTATGAAGTATAAAAATAGACATCTTTGGTCTGGCTGTCCACTGCTTGCATCTGCATGAAAACATGCATTTACATATGCAGCAACATTTACAATCATTTACACAAGCAGCAGCCAGGATGGCAATTAACCCTAATTAGCCACAACTGTCCCAGTAAATGGTGTCATCTGGGAGACGTCACAGTTATTTACAGGGGGACAATGGGCTTGCATGGCTGCAGGATCCCTGGATAAAAGGCTTTGTCTTGGGAGTCTGCTTTTAGTTTAGGGTATCCAGGTCTCTGATAAACGTGAACTGAAACAGATTTATGGAAGACCTCCTCAAAAGGTGGAGAATGGGTCTTAGTATCTGGTACATCTAGGTGACAACTCCCTTATCCCAACCCTTTATTGTACGAGTAAGGGACTGTGGCATTCCAGCCATTGGCTGGTGTTCAGGTTGCCTGCAGTTGTTGAGGGCTAAGAGCAGCCCTTCTTCAGGTAGACATCATGAAGGAAAAAGAATCATGACCTACATTGTTACTGCTGGTAGTTCCCAGCTGAGCTTAATTAATACTTTTCTTTCTTACAACACGCCCATAACCATTCAGGTTCCATACTCACCAATGGTGGTTTGGGTTCAACGTATTTAGCTCCTATGTATTCAAAATAAGATGCAAATCCTTCATTAAGCCATAGATCATTCCACCAACTCATGGTGACCAGATTTCCAAACCACTTAAATAAAAAAAGAAACATGTCTTAGACTGCATTTCTCTGAACTTCAGTCTTCCATGTTTTACGTTAAACCACTATGTATGACCAAGAGAAGACTTTGACTTTTTTATGTGTCTATGTTAGCACAATAAAATGCTACACTTTTTTTGAGTTGGTGGAAATTTAACAGTACAACTTGAAAAAAGCTATACAGGTACAAGTTAGTTATTGTACATTTTTAAATTCCTGTCTGAAGCTAGAAAGCATTAGCACATCCAGTCAGGTCTCTACTCTATTTAATTTAAAGAAGTTACTAATAAATTTGAAAATCTAGCAGAAAAAAAAGTTGTGACTCGAAAATATTTCAGTTTCTCAGATTATGGACAAAAATATTTTTCTCACAGCTGATTGTAAATAACCATTTGTTTTTCTTTGTTTTTAACAAAAGGAAAGTGTCAAGCAGATAATAAACAGGACTGGGGAAACAGCTAAGTCCCAAGACCAGCAAATGACATTTTTGGTAAGCCATAAAAGTTCCATAACAGCTATTACATACTAAGATTTGGCCGTTTATATTTTTTTAACAAATAGATATATCATTTGGTGATCTGCAATTTCATTACACTATATTTGTTACTCCTTAACATCTTGAACTATTACTTTCTTTTTAAACAATGTTTACTTAAGTACTGACATTTATTTTATTGGCCCACAATAAAAAGCACTAACTTTTCAGACCTTCAAATGAGAGATGAAGTTAGCAAAGTACTAGTACATGAAGTATAGTGGAACAAGAAATGAAATTGTGCATTATCATTTTAAACCAAACAATTAACTTTCTGACAATATCTAAGAACATTGGATTAATATCTAGCTACGAGTGAAAATGTATTTACTGTGCATTTGCTCTACAGTCACAAATGTCTATTCACAATTGGCTTTCTTCAATACTTACATGTATTCCCAGTAAGAATTAACTTTCCTTACAGAGTCTATTCTCTTATCAGTGTATTGTAGTATCATTACACTATCTGCATATGCTTTACCACATTCATCCCTATGACATATTCCAGTAAGGTATCAAAGTATCTTATAAGAAAATAAAGTGCAGTTTGTTAAGAGGAGTTAGGTGCATGAACCCTTGGAGTGAATAGACTTTTTGAAGAATGGTTATGCCACCTTCAGTACTATACAATTTGAGACAAATACGGTTGGGGTTCTCCTATCATGCTACAATTTGCTTTTCATTTTGATCTGCCAAGCTGGTGTATAACCAAACTGTTTTTCCAACAAACTGGTATTATATAACAATGGATTTGTTTATTGCTATGAAACTTCCTTATCATTAGCTGTTTCATAGTTTCATAGTTTCTAGGGTCAGAAGGGACCTGAGTAGATCATCTACTCCGACCCCCTGCCATGGCAGGAAAGAGTACTGGGGTCAAACGACCCCAGCAAGGTGTTCATCTAACCTCCTCTTAAAAACCCCCAGGGTAGGAGCCTGCACCACCTCTCTTGGAAGTTGGTTCCAGACCCTAGCCGCCCTGACCGTGAAATAGCGCCTCCTGATGTCTAACCTAAACCTACCCTCTGCCAGCTTGTGACCGTTATTCCTGGTCACTCCTGGCAGTGCTCGGGGGAACAGTGACTCCACCAATGCCTGCTGATCCCCCCTGACTAGTTTATAACAGGCCACAAGATCCCCCCTCAGCCTTCTCTTGTGGAGGCTGAACAGGTTCAGGTCCCATAGTCTCTCCTCGTACGGCCTGCCCTGTTGTCCCCTGATCATGCGAGTGACCCTCCTCTGGACCCTCTCGATGCTGTCCACATCCCTCTTGAAGTGCGGCGCCCAGAACTGGACACAGTACTCCAACTGTTGCACTACAGAAACTAGAAAAAGAGCAACTTCATAGAAAAACATATGTATAGAATGTTTTACCACGTGCCTGGTGTCCTATTTCATGTGAAACAATTAAGGAAACAAAAGCCTTTCTGTTTATTAAATTTTCCGCTGGGCAGTAGATCAGTGATGATTCTTGGAAAGTCATTAGCCCCCAGTTTTCCATAGCACCTGCTCCAATATCAGGAAGTGCAACCAGATCTAAGTTGAGTCATACAGAAAAAAAAAATTTCAAAATTAAATGACTACATGAAATATATAATATGGTTACCCAATTTTACCAAGCTGTTATATTGGTTATATATACAAGGTGCTATAGTGGTTCCAAGGTGAGCTGCTGCAATAACCTAGAACAAGCCTGTTCAACTTGTAAGTGGCCAGAGGCCACATGCTACATAGACACTCGCTGTTGTACCATGTGTTGTGTGGGTATCCCATTCCCCTTCATACCTCCCAACTCCCCGGCTAGGCTCCCTCACTGCACTGTGTTGTGCAGGCACCTGGGCCACAGGCTCTCCCAGTCCCAAGGTCTGTGCTGTGCAGCCCCCACCCTGGAGTGAGGGCAAGAAGCGGAAGCCAGAGGAGGGAGGAAGAGCCTGAAGACACCAGCTGCTGCCACAGCCAAAGTAACAGGGGCAGAGGCAGCCACGTGGGAACTGAGGGGCCACAGATTAATCCTCTGTGGGCTGAATAAAGTCCACAGGCTGCAAGTTGGACATCTCTGAAAATGCTCTTGGAATAAATTTCCTTCTGTATCTTTTAACGGCATGCCTCTTTAAAATTGCCAGTCTTTCCGTCAGCAAAAAAGTCAAGTAAGACCAACCCTCATCCATCTGTAGTATCATGTACTGAAGTACTTTGTGAATAAAAATCCCTCTTTGAAGGCTTTTTAAGTTCTATCAGTTACTGGGAAAGTTTGTATTCAGCCCAGAAAAGGGCCTAATACCCAACACCCCCTGCCCTCTAGGGGCAGACTCCCTGTCCAATCATGACATAAAGGCATAGAAGGCAAAACAGTAAGGTGGGATCCTGAAAGGTCATAGGGGCAGGTAAGCTGTCATCCAGGTAGCTGCCAGGGGGTGATTTTGCTGCCCCAAGGCTGAATGCACTACAAGGGGAGATAAAAAAAACGAAAGGAAAACAACACCTGCTTCCTCCTTTCTCTTGGCTCCTCAAAGAAAAAGCTCTTTCCCTCAAAAGTGTATATGAATGGATTAAATATCCCTAGAAACACCTGTCTTTCTACACATAAAAGGTCTCAGAGTAAGTCTGTTTTCTCAGTAATCCTTCTTGTGCTTGATTAGCAGGAAGCACTTCTATGACTCAGATCTGGATGTTGGAGAACATAGAAAAAGGCTTTGGATGAATACCATGTATAAAACAATATTTTCCATTTTAAATTATAAATTCCACCATCCACTAAAAAGCTATTATGGGGGGGGAGTTATTTATGGAGAAGGGGTTATTTTTTTAAATCAAAATGCAAAACAAAAATGTGGCGGTGGTGGTGAAAGATGGTAGTTTCTTCAGCTCATACATTAGGAAAAGCTAAATGTTTTAACTGAATTGCATGTATTGTTATCGTTCTACTTTTGAGCTCAAATTTGTCCATGAATCATCACCATGGGTCAAATCAGGCCACTGATTTTTAGTCAAGTTTTCAGATGAATTCAGTGAGAAATCAACAGCACTACAAAGGCCTGTGAAACTAAAATTTTACACATCAGGAGGCCCTGTAGTCTAGTGTTGAACCAGCATATAGACATTGGTCTACCAGAGTAAAGCTATGGTAATCAAGACCCATAATGATGTCAAGGGGTTGGGGTTTGTTTGTACCTATCAGCTAGGATAATGAAGCCTAAAAAGCACCTACATTACATTTCTCACCAAAAGTTTAGTATTTTTGCGTGTGGATCCTAAACACATCATTAGAAGTCAAGTGTCAAAATAAGATCATGGTTTTTCAGATCATACATCCATTCTGAATTTAATGAAGTACAATTTAATGAAGTATGTTGCACAGAAAGAAGAAAGGAGAGCAATGAGTTAAGACTTAGGACTAGCATTCCATGTACCTTGCATGGATTCAAATAACTTTGGCAAAAGAGGATTCAGTATTGCCATGGGCATGTTATATGATCATCAGCTATTTGTGCCTAAAAAAGAAAAGGAGTGACCTCACCTGTTTTTGGAAGAGGGTAGCTGATATTAAATAAATCTTCCAGAAATGAAAAGATTGGTCCTGTGATATTTAAAGCATAGTCAACACACCCCTTTTCAACTGCTTCTTTCCGAGCCCAAATACGTATCTATAAAAAAGCAAGGAAACATTATTTTAGACAACTGTTGCATTTTTCAATTTCCTTGCTTCTCTTTGGTGAAGGAAATATTTTTAAGCAGCTACATTGAAGGTGTTGCCTACCACATCTGATCATGCAATTACATTTTTATGCAAGAAAAAGAAGAAATGTACCACTAGATTTAGAGCTCAATCCCATTACAATCAAGGATAGCTTTGTGCTTTTGGGTCCAAGATTTGAGTCTAAATATATATACATGGAGCAGACTAATTACTAGTTACTTTTATACTACGTGCCACCTCAGACCACGGTGACATTTAAGAGCTTTCCTTCTTTCCATTCCCATCCTTCAGTACAGCTACAACAATGTTTTCATTCTCCATACATGGCTAAGTTTTTTGTCATGAATCCCTAGCTTGTCATGACTCCCTACATCTTTGGTCATGGCTCCCTACAGCATCTGGAATTTAAAGGTGGTTTCCCACTGAAGGATTAGACAGGTCAAGGACTGCTTAGTCTCCAAAATCAGACAACAATCAGGTGTATTTGATCTGGTATAGCTTTCCACAGTAAAAAACTGCTTTTTTTAAAATGTTGCTTTACCTTGTACCAGCAAATAATATGTGCACATACCAGAATTCATACTGTGCACAACAAGGTAAGTCCAACTGCTGTAAACATCACATGCTGAATAAAAAAATAGTTTAAATGCACACAATATTAGCTTCTAGAAGTTAAAAATGGTGCCCAGCATTAAAAAAAAACCCCCTAACAATATCAGTTACAAGTCCACACAGAGGCATAGTGCTGCTCTTATTCAAGATATTAGGGTTGGGAGTTTTAAAAGGGTCTGAAAGAGTTAGGCCCCCTTGTCCCTGAACTCATATGAGCAGAATGGGGTTGTTTTATAAATGAACAGGGTTAAGAAGATCTTGAAATATAAGATGCACTTTCTGTGGAATGACTTCTCAAAGCATATCAGATATTAATTTAAAACAGATCAGAAGCACATGTATGAAACTATTCATACAGAATGAATGCACCCCAGTGTTTCTGAAGAAAAGTTTTCTGCACATGTGTTTTTCAAGGGAAAATGTTATCACTTCTGCCACTTAAATACTTTCAGAATTGGGAAATAAGAAGATACCTCAGAAAACACAGCACACTGGAACTAGTTTATGCTTAGATGCTCTTGTTGAATTCTGCAGTAGATCATTTACCTCTTTGCCCCTCTCTGTTACCGTCATATGATCAAAGTCGCAAACTACAAAAGCAGTTATGTAAGTTGACATTTTTGGGGTAGTATCAAATGTAGTGACAGTCCATATGCTTCCATTCTCATCTTTCATTTCAGATACACCTAAAACAAAAATAATTATGGTAGAAAATATTCAAATTATTACATAACAAAACAAGAGCTTTTGTTTTTTTAGCACCTTTTTTATACATATCTTTTTTTTTCTGATACTGTACAGGACTGCACTGACTAAATATGTTTCTGCTAACAGATGTTATGACAACTCAGCTCTTTCCATGTACCTGAATGACAACCTCATATGCAAACACACTAATAATCCACTCCTGAGCTTCTTAACCAAGGTCTATGGAGCATATACATTTTGAGTCCTCTTCATGGGGTTTTTGAGGTTTTATTTCTCTGTGTTACTAAGGTAGAATATACCAACTGAGTAGAATTTAGAAATATATCTAGCAGTCATAGCCCGTGGATAACAGAACACTATCATATACAATGACATATTAATGTGCTACCCTTATATGCTGTTCAGGTAATTCAACCCATCATTAAGGTAATTTGGGAAAATACAGAAGGCTGTTTTTAACTTACCTATAGCAGGCATGTTGGAAAGAGCTACATAGCTGGGATCATGGACAATTCTAATGTTAAATGTTGCCTTCATGTCAGGCTCATCAAAGCATGGAAACACAGTCCTTGCATATGTTGGTTCCAACTGTGATGCAATCAGCATACTAAATTGAAAATATGAAAATGGTTAACCCAATATGTTGCAGTTAATCAAAATCAATATGCGATGCACAAAACCTGCCAAGTTAGAAATAGAGATGGTTAATCATATACAGATGTGGACATAGAAAAGGCTTAGTCAGCACTTGAAGACAAGACCAAACCGACCCCTTCAGAGCTGCACATGCAGACTTATCAAGACCAACTGGATAAGCAGGCTCTGTGCCTGCTTTTTATTCATCTGTAGAGATCACAGTGTTATATCTTTGAGTTTTGGCTTCACGTAAGAATCTCATGCACAGATAATACTGTCCACAGCAGGCAATTGCTTAAAATTTATCTAATTGCCCAAATTTTCATCTCAGAAATGAATACTGTCTGGATGCCTGCCTGCTTCTCACTCTAAATACACCTTAATACATTATGCTCTTTAATAGTAGTGATACATTTTACTAAAGGATTTTAAGAACTGGTGTTGCAGATAGTGTCCCTCTACACCAAGCACCAGAGCAAGCCCCAAGGAGACTGCTGAGGAGAACCCAGCCCCCTACCACCTGCGTGCCAGCGAGTTCTGCCTGCCACTCGTGATAATTCTGAACAGGGCTTTGGGGGCAGATTTTGGACTGGTTTGGGGTGCCCAACTTAAAACATCCTTACTGAAAAAAAGACAAAATGACTTCCCTGTGCTCAGTATTCCTTACAGTTCCACTAAGGAAAGACAGTGCAGCAGAAACCTTTAAAACATATTGACCGTTCTGTGGTAGGATCAAATTGCCACCATAAAAACCTCTTATACATCTTAGTATGAGGTGAGTGAAGCTGGGTAGGTCAAAAATAGGCAAATGCCACCCAAGCAAGTAATTTACAAATGTTTAGCTTTCTACAGTACTTATAAACCTTTGAAAACTGAGCTATGAGTTAATGCAGTCATGAGGAAGCTGTAACTTCTGTTAATTCAAGAGTTCACTGTTAGCCTTATTTGTCTTGACACTACTACAAGGCTCATATCTTTCACATGGTTGAGATGTTCTTAAACAATAATCTAATATATTAGCTACAAACAGGCTTACCTTCAACATCACACGAGTGGTTTTTCTTTCCACTTAACTAGTTTGCTTGTATAAACCTAATTAGAAAGAAACTGCAGTTTGGATACTTTAGCAGTTTTTATAAAGGCTGCATCTACACGGCGCTGTGCTTTAGTACTTCCTTTAGTACTAAAGCATGGTACAATAACTGCCCGATCCACATGATCGCTGTATTGGCACAGTGTGCCATATGGTGACATAATGTGTAGCTATGTTGCCGTAGGGCAACATGTAGTTGTGCCCAAGGTATCCCAGATGAAGCTTAAATGAATATTTTTGTTTTTAACCTGCAATACAAAACACTTGCATTGTGATATAATGATGTTGCATTTTATATCTCCCCTGATCCAGCAAGGTGCCAAGAACTTTTTGTAAGGTACCAAGCATTCCTGTTTTCAACTACTTCATTTCACCGAGTACTTTCACACAGCACAGGAAATGTTCAGCATCTCACAGAATTAGACCCACTATGAGGAAGTAGCAATTTACTTGTCTACAGGAGAGAAATTCAAAATTTTCATATCATTGCTACCACCAGCTCAGCCCCCTGCTGTTAGGGCCTTCAGAGTTCTTGTGCGGATGGATCTTTTGCTATCACCATTTAATCACTGTGGGTGTGTCTACATGTTTATTAATACATTGTAGTTACTGCACATTAAGTTGGTACTTGTACAGGCAGTCCTCAACTTACAACGTTTTGAGTTATAACATTTCACACTTACAACGTTTATAAATTGACACCCTGTTGCAACTTTATGACGTCAGTTTCGACTTTACAACGCTTGATGCGATGCAACACCACGCCAGCGAACAAGTTCGCTGCGTTGCTCAGCTCCCTGGAGAACATCTTTCCAAACTTCCTTGAACACTTCCTCAAAGAAAGCAGACAATACTCCAGAAAAACCTGCAGCCAAGACTCCTGAGAAGCCAAGAGCCCTTCAAACAGTCCAGCCAAGAGCCTTTCAAAAAGTCCAGCAAAGTCACCTCAAAAAAGTCCTTCCAAATCAATTTGATTGCTATTTACAATATAAATACATTAATGTAGCTATATTATTCATTTATAATTGATTGAGTACAAAATACTGGGGTATTTTTAGTGAAAACAGGGTATTGGGCCTTGGTTCAGGAACCAATCCCGCATTTATAACCTTGTTTCTTATGAGAAAATTGGTTCCAAGTTACAAAGTTTCGACTTAAGACGTGGTTTTCAGGAACCAATTGTGTCGTAAATCCGAGGCCTGTATAACCAAATACTAAATCAATGCACAGTAACTGGTGCTACTGAGCAGTACTGCTGGGTCACAGCTTTTTACTGACGTTAACTGAGCAGAAGCCTAATACTACTGCACATTAGTGTATTAGCATGGATTTTGCCCTGCACACTACTGTGCAGTAGAATTAGGCTACTGCACAGTTAGGTGTCTCGTGTAGATGCACCCCATATCATCTAATCCTGCTCAGAGCAAGTCTAAATCAACAGTGGTATGGAAAACACCTACCAGTCCACCTATGCAATGCTCTCAACATTGTTAACATTAATGGAGTGGAACTAACGTAAATGGGGCTAATGTGCAATGATGATAGGATGTACCATGTTGGTATGTTATATCACAAAACCTTCCGTGGCATTGGAAGCCCTCAAATACCTGCCCACCCTGCATATCTTGGGAGAATTCACTGGAGGCATAAACATTTTCCCTCACTACTGGGAGTTGTGCCCACATCTGAGGTAGTGCCTGCCATCTGGTCACTCGGTGCTAGTCCTAGGAGATACTGTGGGTATCTTTCACTATTGCCAACTCCCCAACCCAATGGAATTCCTGTCTCAGGGAAGCCTTGTACCAAGGTCTGTGCCAGGAGAACTAACACAGACCCTAAGCAAGATTGGCCTGATGCCTGCAAAAACTCTTGCTCAAAAGCACAAAACAATATATTCTGGGCCAAGAAATAAGAAAAATGATTTTTTGTTATTTTTTCAGCAGGTTCCCAAGTAAAATGAAACAAACCAAAAATGCTTCATGTACACTATGTAAATAGTGGTTATTTTACACATGTTGATATCTGCCCAGGGGCACTATAAGTCACAGTTTATTTTTTCTTGTTTTCTTTGTTAGCTGAATTGCTAGCAAACTTTACTCCATATTGCACATCTATGACCTGACACAAATTATCCAAATGGAATATTACTTCATAGAAACTTAGCAATGCATAAGCAGACTAATGAATTCCTTTCATAACTCCTGCTTTTTTGCGTATAGGTTTCTTTTCTTTGCATTCTTTTTGTAAGCTATGTTAACAAATTTTGGGTAACACTGCCTATGTTAGCCAAATACAATCAAAGCAGTATTCCAAGCAAGTCCCACCAGGCAGATAACAGAACTTTAAAAAATAAATCATGATAGTTTCAGCTATTCCAAACAGCATTACTTCACCTGGTAAGAAATGAGCTAACCCCCAAGTACTAGAACACTTTTTATTACATGCAAAATAATGCATGTAATATTTTCTGCAATAACTCCTCTTCCTAGCCTTCTTTATCAAACCACTATTTGTTCTGAGTTCTAGCCTTTCTTGGATTGCCAAGACTTATTACTTTCACAATCTGTAACTGAATCTTCAAGACACATATTGCATGCGGGAACGAAAACTCTGTTATAAAGTGGTACTAAGCAAAATATTATTGTTATCTGGAGGATTTTGAGTACTAAGACTTCCAGTAAAATACAGCAGGCACTTCAGTTCACATTCCAGGGGGCCTTATGCTACTTTTGATCTGAGTACATAACACACTATTTGGAGCAGTGAATATCCTTCCTGTAGACTAATGTAGGCAAAACATACTTCCCACCCTTACCTGACTTAATCCAACACAGCTGAAAGGCAAGATATGCAGAGGTACCTTTATGACACCTTTCTGCTTCCTGTTATTCTGGCACTGATTCTCCCAACTTTCCAAGTCAGTCATGGATTTTTCATCTGGTCCCCTTAAGGACAACTTCCAGCTGCTTTGTTCTGAGTAAATAATACAAAGCACTGAGAAGCAGGGCCAGCTCCACACTGGACTCCCTTTGGTGTTGTGGGTGCTGCAGAAACTTGTTGTGTGGTGTCAATAAGCTATGTTTTTGCAAACTTATGTTCTGTATCCCAAAGCTTGATTTAGTACATAACTAATATCCCTAGTAGTTTTAGACCACTTTCTATAAACAAACAGATCATGAATGGCTCCTGTGTGGTCATTTATATTCTCTCTCACTACAGAAGAGTTAAAGTACTGTACAGGCAGATGAGCTTCCCCACACCACCATGCTTCAGTTTTGATTGGAAGGGAGAAGAAGGTAAAAGTATAATTCACTTTCCGTGTCAATCAAACCTTTTGCCTGTCTGCTAAACTGCCAACAACAACATGGCTAGGATCTGGAACCAACTTCCAAGGGAAGTGCTGGTGGCTCCTACCTTGGGGGTCTTTAAGAGGAGGCTTGCTAATTACCTAGTTGGGGTCATATGAGCCCAGTATTCTCTCCTGCCCAGGGCAGGGGGTCGGACTTGATGATCTACTTAGGTCCCTTCCGACCCTACATCTATGAATCTGTGGACATTTGACCACTAAGGTCAACGTGGACATTTGACCACTAAAACTTTAACCACTTAAGTCAGTAAAGGCACTAAACAGGTTGTAGAAGAGAATGGCTTTACCACTACCAAACTAGCCTAGATTGGAGCTGATGACATAGTGCTAAAGGATGCTGCATCCTAATACATAGATAGCCCTGACCCACCTAATCCTCCTTTCAAGTTCATCATTGTCAACCATTAACATACCCTTGTTCACATTTACAAATGATGTCCCCCAAAACACATGTATCCTACAGAAAGAGAATGAAATTTTTACAGCCCAAACTGCAAGGGAAGCAGAGGCAGGAAACTGCTAAATGATTACCTCTTGCTGAATGAAGGGAAAACAACAAAGTACAGTTGCACTTGGTTGAAGAAATTTTAAAACAAAAACACCAAAACAAAACAAAACACACAAGCATAATCCATCAAAAACATCAAAAATGCACAAAAAAGTAGGTAAGCAAAGCATTCACTTAAATCTGCAACAAAGATTTCTTTTTACTCCATTCTCTGAACATTACTGAAGAATTTTTAAACAGATCACAGTTCTACATTCTGATAATACAACATGGTAAGGTAAGAATAAAATGGAATAGTTGAGTCCAGATCTTTTTGCTCCTTTAAATTTCACAAAATACACCATGTTAACACTTTTAAAAATGTCTGGTCTTCAGTTTTTTGGCTCAGTAGTTTTTTGTTGTCTTTGTTTGTTTTGTTTCTGGTTTTGTTCTGTGGTAGTAAAGTTGATAGTATACCACTGTCAGATTTCATAACACTGATCTGGTAAAATAACCACTTCTTTACTAGGATTTGTGGGGGGAGAGGTAGCAAGGGTCAGGGAACATTATAATCAGGGATCCTGGTTTTCCCCGATAAAACAACTGCAAATTCTCTGATAAACCCCCCCAAATCCAGGATTAAAATGAAAGGTCCCTCACTCTCTCTCACGCCCCACAGCCCCCTGCTCCACCCCACCCTGCCAGAGGGGGGCCCCCGGCTGCCAGGGCTACCGAGCCAGGGACCCCTACCCCCAGCTGGAGGCAGCAGATGTTGCAGTGGAACGGAGCCCAGCTGCAGACTTGGGCAGGGGGAGTGGGGAGACAGCTCTGCACACTCCCAGCCCTGTCCAACTCCCCTGCTCCCTCCCTATAGGGGCCTCAATTACCCCACCTCCCCACTTACCTACAGGAGCTGCTCCAGGTTGCCTGGCAACCATGTGCATATACGCATACACATGGCACCCCCTGCCTGACCACCCTCCTCCCACTTCCTCCCAGCCCCTTGCACACTAGAATTCTTCCAGACTGCAGAAAGGTCTTTGCAAAACTGCAAAAATCCACAGGTTTCTCTGTTAAAATGAGAAATCCATTATTTCCTCCGGTAA